CCCCCACAAACCAAACAAAGCTAGAGAATGGGAGTTAGTACAAAATGAAACTGGAATTCTAAGGGTCACGTGCATTAACCACATCTTGGACTCGGAGAGCAGATCTTTTAACAGCCAAGGCCGAATGGAGGGCTAAAGTTTACTTTGACCCCAAAAGAGAGAGGCATAAATAGGCATGCGTTTTGCTCAAACTCGTGCGTGCGCAGATACAATTTCCCTCATAGTAGTCCTTCCTTTTCCTTTTTTTTTTCGTATCCAAGTCACGCTTCTTTCTGACTACCCAAACTACTTAGCCAATTTTCTTTTCATACGGTTGTTCAGTTTTTGTTTTTTTTAATTAAAGAAAAACAAACCTACACAAGAACAGCACATTCAGCGCTATGGAAAAGCAAGACGGATAGACAGAATCAATAAAGGGACAGGAAAGAAATAGGATCTACCAGTAGATATCTAGTACCAATAGCACTTTCCAACCACCCACAATAAAGGTAAATACTACACAATGATGGGCACATTCACAACCGGATGGACGAACCGACGATGACGTCGAGACTCGTGGCAAGCTCTCACCTTGGCATCGATTTGAACCGGAGAGCTGTCCGCACTCTTCACATCTGACATCGTGGTCCATAAAATGTGTTAATTACCCCCACAACCTTTACCAAGAACGTATGTGAGGACACGGATCAGCATAGTCATGGCCAGGAAACCGCTGTACACCGGGGTTGAGGTTTTTTTTTTTTCGTGTTTTGTCCGTTTAGTTTTTCGCCAACGTTTTAAATTCGTCATTTGAATTGACCATGCCCAGTGCCATAAAAATCTTACGGGTGAAACTAAAAGCATTTATTTCACGTATATTTCGAGACAACGCTCGTATCGGGCTCATCCTCTTGTGCTAAAGAAATGAACGAAGACATACATTACAGGAATGACAACGCAATTCTTGTGCACTTTGTAACGTGCATGCAAAGAAGAATGGCATTATTTGTGTTGTGGGAAATGCATTTTCGCTTCCTCACTCAACCCAGGTGTGAACCATAGCGAACTAATCACCCAGGCATTGTCG